AGACAGTAAATATAAATTTAAATGTACCAAAAAAACAAAAAAAAATTATATCTAAATACACTTTTATTAAAAGGAGAGCCATACACGGATCGTCAGTTGGTAACAGTAAATAATATTCACCAAAAACGAACCGGCCTTTATAAATGTCGGTAAATAAAGGCTGTACGGCAACTGCTTGAAAATCCGTGTACCCGAAGTCTTGCACAAAGCATTTTCCTTTCAGTTTAAATGTTCCGATCTATTCCATATAACAATTCCTTTACTTTGAAAACAATCTTTCCAATACATTTGTGCTCTCAATCGTAAGGACATGTAAGGATATGCAAGAGTAAACATGAAAGCCTTAAATTATTCAAACTTTCGTAAGACATTATACTAAACTGACATAAAAACGGCTAGACACTCACGTATTTTCGTCCCGTGGCGGCACCGACTAGTTTCGAGCTAGTCAGTGCCGCCACCGGACGAATATACGTGTTTAGCCGTTTTTATATCAGTTTGAAAGCCTTACTTATTACTTAAAATCTCAATAACTTAGTTACAAGAGTACATAGTACGAATTAAAATCTATTGACAAACTACAATTTATTCTTAAACTAGCTATTGCCCATGACTCCGGCCGCACTGAATTAACGTAATTACTAGCCTGTGTTCTTCCGGACTATGTTCTATATATATACCAAATTTCAGCGGGATCCGTTCAGCTGTTCTGGTATATAACAAACATCCATCCGTCCATCTAAACATTCGCATTTATAATTATTGGTAAGATGATAGCGGGCACCGCAACTCCTCCGCATGGAATTAAAGATCTTAATTAGCAAGTAGTCTATTTGTTCTTCCAGACTATGTTCTACATCTATGCAAATTTTTAGCTAGATCAATGTAGGCGTTCTGGAGATACCTTAAAACAAACATCCATCCATCGAAATATTCGCATTTATAATATTAGTAAGATTTACACGATGTAATGAATACATCTCCTATATTATTCTAATACGATTCTTATTATAAAGCACGTACGAATTCCATTAGGAAATTAAATGTCAGCGTAACAACAAATTGAGTTACACTTCGCAGTCCGTCACTTTAGACATTTAAACAGATTGTGGCCTCTGTTAGCGTGGGTTTCCGAGATCTAAATCTATATATAAAACATACCATCTATATCATTTATCTTTAACAAAAAAGACACGGTTAGTGTATTAGTTTAAGATGAAAAGATTTGGTTTTTATAGATCACCCGAAATCGACGTGTTTGTGTGTACATGTATGAATGTAGAAACGAAAGAGGTGTATAAGAACCGTGGCCTCTGCCTATTACTATTTGATTTGTATTCGGTTTGTTGCCAGAGCGTCGGTGACTCAGGAGTCAAGCACTTGACTTGCAATCTGCAGGTCCTGGGTTCGAATTCCACCATGTACCAAAGTGTTTTTCTGTTTTTATTTACATATGTACATTTATCCGACGTTCTTACGGCGAAGGAAAACATCGTGATGCAACCTGCACATATCTGAGAAGAAATTCATAGATATGTGTGAAATCAACCCGTTCTTGGCCAGCGTGGTTGACTATGGCCTAGTCACCCCCAACTTAGGGTAGGCTCCGAGCCCCTCGTTGGGGACATATAGTGAGCTGATGATCGATCTATTCGTTTGATATTCAAACATAAAGTTTTTAATTGAATTGGTATAAGAAATACTATTTCACTCTTAATAATTTGCTAATATTTTTTAAAATACAAAATAACGGTCTTGAAATTCATAAGAGCTTCAATATATCAGCGAGCAGTTAAATTGTCCGTGATATTGAGTTACGGCCCATAATCGAAAGTATGCTGAGTGGAATAAACAAAATATAAGAGGCTTTAAGAAATGTTTAAATCTTATAAGGTTTAAATATTTCAACACATTGATTAATGACATAGAAAATTGTATATACTACTAGCTGTCGCCCGCGACTCCGTCCTCACGGAAGAAAAAAAACTAAATTAGTAGCCTATGTGTTCTTCCAGACTATGACAAATTCTACATTCTGTTCTACATCTATGTTAAATTTCAGCGAGATCCATTTAGACGTTCTGGACATATATACTTTCAAACAAACATCCATCCATCTAAACATTCGCATTTATAATATTAGTAAGATAAGATTGGCGTGGTAAAGAGGGGAATTTTGCCATTAAGTTGATGAACTTTCAATCCATTCTAACCCTTTAATACCCAGCGTAATATACCGTAAACTAAAAATCTGTATGTTGGAACGTAGTGTTGAATAACTAAATTATGTTCGGTCGGACGAATATTTTATGAACCCCTTTTAGAATTTATGAGCAATATCCATGTTTCCTTTTAAGGGTTTTTGCTAATGATTTTGTAAAGTTATCTAAATTGGGCTACAATATCATAAGTTTTAAAAAAAACAAATCCGTCTGACTGTAGATAATTATAACTATCATACAAATAAGTCTAGACGTTTTAGGCTAGATGTTAATTAAACTAACACACATGCAAAACTCCATAAAAATGTAATTTAAGAACGCACTAAATTACCTTACTGAGTCAATGTGGTGACCAAATCATTTTATAATAAACAATTAAATATTAGTAGACTGTGTGTTCTTCCAGACTATGTTCTATATTCATATCAAATTTCGTCTAGATCCATTGAGACTTTCTGGATATTCCTTCAAACATTCATCCATCTAAACATTCGCATTTATAATATTATAATAGTAAGATTATTTGTTACTTTATCATTTTTAATTAAGTATCTAATACCAAATAAAGCTTTCTCTTAGCAATTTCGTATACGCGTACACAACATGAAAGCTTTTAAATGGCACATATATAATGTTCGCGTATGTTTCGTATTTAAAACCGACAATCCGTCAGAGCCTTTCTCGCTACAAGCACTTTGCGCAAACCGCGAAAATCTTTGCAAAGAAAATGAAAAGAAAATTAGGTTTTTTTTTATAAGAAAAACTTCGCCTCAAAATAAAGTCAAATCAGATTACGAAAATATAAATGAGGCCGCTGAAATGTTGGAACAATTAGTCCGCGCGAAAACAAATTAAGCTAATATTGTTGTTGACATAAATATTAAATTAAAATTAAGGTTGAAGTCTACCAAGATTATCAGACTTGATTTATTGACACCTGAAACTATTGAACTGATAAAACTATGTAATGAATTATTGCTGTCTTTATTATGACAGGCGCTATTACATACCTCTTATTATTAATATCGTCGAAATTTCCATAATAATTTAAAGTAGTTTCAAAAAGATTAAAACATCAAGTATATTAAAAGTGATTTATCTTATGAATATCAATATTACATTACTGTAGTATTGTTATATTAAATTAATTGTGAATCTCAATGGGGATTAAACTTTGAGTCTGCAAGAAATTTAATATTTTCGCTATGAATAACAAATTTATTCATCCGAGCTCGTTGTTTTATATTTATTTAAATTTTATCTAACGACATTATTATTTATGTTTTAACCCTTTATAAGTAAAACTTTAAAATATGTTTTTAAAGTTTTACTTATAAAGTACTCGCTGAAATTTTGCACAGACGTAGAACATAGATTGGAAGAACACATAGGCTACTTATAAGTCTTTTTTCTAATTCCGCACGGACGAAGTCGCGGGCGACAGCTTGTAACTATATTTTACAGTAATGGTTTTTAATCGAAACTTGTCGATAATAATGAATATTAATTACAATAAATTTAAATAAACAATTAGAATAATAAAAAAAATTATATTAATACATGTTATTTATCAAAAGAGAGCAATAACCGAAAGGGAGAGGAGTTCACGTATTGATTAGCTGTTAAACGGGTAAAACACATTTTTACCATTTCTGAATTTTTGATTACCCCAATACATATATTGTCAGGTCGTTACCATCTAACAGTGGTAGAGCCCGCTTTAACATCTCCGCACGAATTGGCCCGGCTCGTCCGGTGAAATACCACGACCACACAGAAGACAGGCGTGAAGTGGAAGAAATTCCGCGTTTCGTCTGATGAGTGTGCGTCCCGGAGGCCTAATTTAGTCCTCTTTCCTTTCTCACCCTTTTTCTTATAAGGAAAGGAGAGGAAGTGGAAGTGGACTTTCCGGATGAGAGGATGCATGGAAAGAGAAAATATTTTCTTTCTGTACATCCTCTCCTCCGTCGATTAAAGGTAGGCAACGCATATGCAATTGCGTATGTCTATGGGCAACGGTCTCTTCGCTATTTCAGCGATTTCAGGTGGCCGCTCGCTCGTTTGATATAAAAAAAAATCAAAACGTAGGTTGAAACATAAATGACATTTTATAATAATTTATATTAGAAAATACAATAACAACAATATCACGCACATGTACCAGAGTGGTAGGAACAGAGACCTATATTTGACTCGGTTCTGACACATATCTAGCTTCATACATCGTATAGACATCATTCATACATCTGCTCGTGCACCTCGGTATTGCATGCTCTTAATATCGCCATTCTTGATTATCCGACCGACACAGCTGCTCAATTTTAGCGCCAGAAAGAGAATGTTTCACCTTACTAGTCCTCTACCATGTCAAATCAATTTCATCTTCATCCTCTACGAAAAAAGGGTGATATAGGAAAAATAAATTAGCCTCTAGCACACGCACGCAGACGAAACGTAGAAATATTTCTACTTCACGCCCGTATTGTGTCCGTTCGTGGTGTCACAACATACAAGCAAGCCATTTACGCTGCTGCTTATGATGCTGTGGTGTCTTACATTGTCAAAAAATAAGGAATTTTGAAATTAAAATAATTTGAATCCTTCTTAACCCTTAATTCGATGGTGTCCAGCGTGACGAACAACTAATTAAAAGAAATCTACTGAACTAGTTTAAAGAAAATTACGTAATTTTTTTGCTACAAAAAATTTCGTGGAATTAATGACAGGATTATACTTATTTATTGTGAAAGGAATTTAAACAAAAAAACAGCCTTTTACTAATAATTATAATTTTATTAAAAGTGCTAATATAATGGAAATACATAAATAAACCCGTAATGCCATAAACTTTGACAACTTAACAAATTTTCATTATCTTGTGCAAGAAGTGAAGAAATTTCTTGAAGAAACTCTAATTTACATTGTTCAAGGTCATTAGTAAAATTTATGTTCAGATAAAGCATTAAGACCTGTCAATAATAATCCTCCATCAACAGCGTAATCAGCACCCGTTATACCACTAGCCTTATCACTGGCTAAGAATAAAGCCATTGCAGCAATTTCTTCTGGTTCCAAAACACGTTTTAAAGGTACAATATGAGCACATGCTTTCAATGCTGCATCAATATAATTGTCACTTATCCCAGAGTTCAACATGAAAGGTGTCTTAACATATCCCGGAGAAATACAATTAACTCTAACACCATAATCTGCTAATTCCAAAGCTGCTGATTTCGTGAAATGTGTCAAACCAGCTTTAGCCACGTTATAAGGAACCATATACTTAGTTGTTAAAGTCGCACATATACTAGATATGTTTATAAGATTTCCTTTACTTTCAATTAAATGAGGAGCTACGTTATTAGTAACAACAATTGCTGTTCTTAAATTAATAGCTATTGTTTCATCGAATTTCTGTAACAAATTAGGATCTAAAATACTTCCCGAACCACAGATGCCAGCGCAGTTAACAACTATGTCAATTCTATCAAATTTCCTTACAGTACTGTCTATTGTCCGTTTAACATCTTCATCTTTAGTTAAATCAGCTATTATTTTTATGACTTCCACTTTCTTTGCTTTACATGCTTCAACAGTTTTATCTAAATTCTCTTCGTTTATATCGATTAGAGATAATTTAGCTGAATTTTCTGAAAATCCTTTTGCTATTGCAGCTCCTATTCCAGAACCAGCACCGGTTACTAAGACAACTTTATTGTTAAAATTCATAATGAATACGTGAACGTATACTACAAAATGTTCTATCCAATTGTTAACAGTTTCAAAACATCTTTTATATACCCAATTGATACTTTATATGTTAAATGTATTCATAAAAAAATAGTGTCACTTGATAATTACAAAAAAACAATATTATTGGAATTGTTAATTAATTGATAATTGTAATTTATTATTTAAATTAAATGTGTACTTTTATCATAAAACTACGCGAAATACTCTAATTTATGCGTTTTCATCCAGTACTGATAGGCATTGAACATAACATCAATAGTTTTGTATAATAAATTATTGACAAAATTAAAAATAATCTTACTTATGGACGAAGACATCGTAACGAACAACTACCGAAAACATATCCTAAAGGATGGTACGATTGACATTTGTCGGGCATGTCGTCGTCCCGGTGAGTCCATTAGACATATCGTTTCCGGCTGTTCTCGGCTTGCGGACGGTGCATACTTGCATAGGCACAACTGGCCAAGATCATCCACCAGCAACTTGCCCTTAAATATGCCTTTGTGGATGCTGAGGTACCGTATTACCAGTACCAACCTTCAGCCGTTCTGGAAAATAGCGATATCACGCTCTACTGGGATCGATCTAAATATTATTACGGATAGGACTATTGCTGCCAATAGGCCCGATATATTATAATAGTAATATTAGACCGGTCTGAGAGTTGTGTAATGTTAGTCGATGTCACTATTCCACATGACGAGAATCTCGCGAAAGCTCAAAAGGAAAAAGTGTTAAAATACCTAGATTTGGCTCACGAGGTTACCGCCATGTGGCGTATGAAATCGACTACCATAATTCCGATAGTCGTATCGGTAAATTGACTAATAGCGAAGAGCTTCGACCAACATCTCAAGAAGCTCTCGCTACACAATTGGATTAAGGGCACGATACAAAAGGCAGTTATCCCAGAAGCCGCGCGCATCGTGAGAAGGTTCCTGTCACTGTAGCCCTGACCACTGGTTGTTTGAGTCATGGGACTCCGCAGCCGGTGGTGTTCTATTTTTAATATAATATGTTTTGTATATATTTTTTGGGTATGAAATGTACTATATTAAAAATATGATAAATAAATGTATAAGGATATCAATCTTACTAATATTATAAATGCGAATGTTTAGATGGATAGATCGAAGGATTTTTGTCTCAAAGTATCTCTAAAATGGCTGCTTGGATCGGGATGAAATTTAACATAGAGGTAGAGAATAGTCTAAAAGAACACATAGGCTACTAATTTTATTTTAATAATTTTTAATTCCACGCGGACGCAGTCACGGGCGAGGGCTAGTAATGTAATAAAAAATAATTAAAATAATTTACCTTGCATTTTGATTGGCTTCGATTTATATATTTGTGTTGCATACGTTTGTACTAGGTAGAGACGGATGGGCCGCGGATGAGAGCGAAAGCGTGCCCGTGGTCCCGTCCCGATGCGTTGGAGGAACAGAGAGGTTTAGTGGGTATGCCTCCGCTATGGAGGAGAATCCCACATAACTACCGCGTCCTCCCCGGGGCGCGGAGTATGCATAAAGCATTCCTCTCTGGAAAAAAAAGGTAGAGATGGATCAAGTTCATCGAGAGTGCATATGACAATGGGCAATTTAAGCGCCCCCAGGTCAGGAATTCAAGATCTTGGTTAGGCTACAAAAAGGTTATCTTTTTTTTCTAATGATAAGGATGACATTAGTTGGACGCACATGTTCTGCGGCACGAGGAATACGACCTTCTCCAACTAATTATGATGGGCAAAATCGCAAGCAAAAGACGCGCTGGACGAAGAAAGAAATCGTGGTTGCGAAATATCAAGGAATGGACGAATGTTACCAGCGTGGAACATTTATTTCACTTGGCACAAGATCGGCGAAAGTTCACTGAGCTGACCGCCAACCTCCATTAAATGGAGAGGAACCTTGAGAGAGAGAGAGGAATGACAAGACGTTTATGGGCTGTGAACGCTTACGATAAAATATTGTCAAATATAAATGTTATTTTACAATTTCATGAAATTAAGATTAACAACGGAAGTGATCAACTGGTTTGTTTTGCCTTCATTGTGAATTTCCGGCGAACAAAAGATATTAAATATTAAAGAATTAATCAACAGAGTACTTTTTCCGTGAAAAGAAATTTTCTCTTTAGTCTTTTATAAAATGTTTTACAAAATGAACATTCGTTTGGACTCATTAAACTTGATGAAGTTAAGAAGAAATCTTTAAATTTAACTTTCGCCCGTAACTGCGTCAACGTGTTAAAAAAAACAGTAGCCTGTGCGCTATTCCAGGCCACGAATCTATTTCTGAAGGTCTATCAAGAATTGGCGATATGCGTGTTCGTAACGTTATCGACAAAATTGGAGCCTGAGCCGTGTTAAGTTACGATACAATTAAGAGGTTCACGAAACCTTTAACTAATATTGTTTACAATTTGTGGAACACAAATTGATCATTAATTTCATAGTTAAACTACATTACTAAGCTTAAAAGTAGCAGTGACAGATTTAAGGTTAACGCGTAATCATCGCATATTGAGCGGGATAAAGATATGAATCGAATATAATAATATAAGGGAATGGACGAATAAGAGTTAACCTTTACCGAGTAACATATTACGAGGAACACTACCGTTTTACTTGTGTTGAGCAATGTTCTTATATCTTTTATTTTCTTTGGTAAAATAAAGAGATCAAGAAAAAGCGAGCATACCATTTCCTTAAAGGCCGGCAACGCATTTGCAGTTCCTCTGGTGTTGCGGATGTCCATGGGTGTCTTTGTCCACCTCAGTGTTCAGCCCTCTCGTTTGCCCCCCTCTCTTATAAAAAAAAACAAATGACGGCAGTGTAATTCCGTGATTACTATGTTAGCTGACCTTCATATTTTACTAATATTATAAATGCGAAAGTTTAGATGGATGTTTGTTGGAAGATATCTCTGGAACGGCTCAACGGATCTTGATAAAATTTGTAGAACATACTCTGAAAGAACACATGGCTACTTAGTTTTTATTTTAATTCCGAGCGGACGGAGTCATGGGCGACAGCTAGTCAAAGAAAGTGTGACAAGGAAAGTTTTGGGCATGTTTATAGAGGGGGATACTAACAAGATTTTCACAATAAAAAGATACATTTTTGACTAATAAATGCAGAACTTTTTCTGCAATTCAACCTTTGTAAGTCATTTTTACGTAGACGATCTTTTGTTTTAAACCTGTGACTTGATAAATGTATTCCTTAACACATTGGAATAAGGTTTTTATTAGTTTGTACGATTTCTTGTCCATTCTGTTCAATTTACTTGGACTTGAAATGTTTTGTTGTAGAAACAAAGACTGTAGACAGACTGTCTTGATGTTTTGTTCAAATGTTTCTTAAGTTATTTTTTATCTTGGTAATCTTACTACATACTAATATTATAAATGTGAAAGGCTAAATGGGTGGATGTTTGTTAGAAGGTATCTACAGAACGGCTGTATTTGGCTTAGATGTTGAACGTAAGCTGGAAAAAGACATAGACTACTTAGTAATTTGTTCTTTTTGCCACGCGTATGGAGTCGTGACCGACAGCTATTTACTTATAGATGCGAAAGTTCGAATTAAAATGGATGGATGTTTTGATGGTTGTCACCACTTAAATCCAAAACTGCTCAATCGATCTGAACGAAAGTCACATAGATTAGCGCATAGGCTAAGCATTTATAATTCCACGCAAACGATGCCGCGGGCAATATCTTGTGAACTTGCTAAGAATAATGCTAAAAAAACTTTCCGACATCGTAAATTACAAATAGCAATATGCTTTTTATAAATCTTCTCTCCAGAGTAGAATTTTATTCATGTCTAAATTCAATTATTGCCTGACACTGGTCGAGAGATATATTGTGACAAGGACAAAAGAGTAAAGCTTTTCACGTGAAATCATTTAGAGACGCGTTCATACGATACGACAATGCACTAGCTTTTGTAAACCAATCTATAGTAAGTAATAAAAAACATTGGCCAACGAGGGTTCACCCATCACGAATATCGAGTCATAGTTGAATAGAGTAAAGTAGGTACAAATAATTAATAATATAAGTAAAACATAAATAATCAGAACTGGTGAAGCCTTTCAGGTCACAATAGAGTTGAAACGTGGAAACACGTCGGCTCGACCAATGCAATACCACGATAACAAAGAAGATAGGCGTGAATTGGAAGAAATTCTGTGTTTCGTACGATAAGTATGCATATCGGAGGTCTAATTTTAATTTCTCTTTCCTATCCCATCATTTTCTTATAAGGAAAAGATGGGAAATGGTAGCGGACTATCCGGATGAGAGGATGCATGGAAAGGGAAAATATTTTCTTTCTGTGCATCCTCTCCTCCGACGATTAAAGGCAACGCATATGCAATTGCAAGTCTATAGGCAACAATCACTTTGCTATTTCAGCGATTTCAGGTGGCCACTCGTTTGCCAACTTATGATATAAAAAAGATGGGACTATAAAGTGGATTCGATAGAGAAAATTACGATCTGTTCGTCCCTTCCTCCATTGATGACATGCAGACAATGCATCTGTAATTGCATGTCTATGAGCATCAGTCTCTTCACTATTTCAGCGATTTCAGGTGAACGCTTGCTCGCTTGCTACCTTAAGATAAACAAAAATATATTCTACTTCATGTCAAGTTATTCAAACTTTCGTGAGACATTATACTAAACTGATATATAAACACGGCTAAACACTCACGTATATACGTCGGTCTATAATATAAACTAGTCGGTGCCGCCACCGGACGTATATACGTGAGTGTTGCAAAAGGTTTGATTGTAAAATGATTTTATATTCTAACTATATTCCCAACTACGTGTAAAAACTTTACCCATCTGTGAGTCGTGCAAAAATACAAAACTAGTAACGTAGCAATGTATAAAGAAAGAAATGTACGTGTAACTACATAAAATAGGTCACGCTATCTCCCAGCGGCTAGTCTTTGACTTTTAAATGACCAGGACTTGTCACTCGCGCTATCCCTTTGTAAAATAAAAGCGAACAATAAGTTCTAAACTTGTGCTTGCTTGTTTACTCGTTTTATGTAAGGACTGTCAACCGCAACTCTGACCGGTCGGACTAAATTAGTAACCTATGTGTTCTTCAAAACTATGTTCTACATCTATGCTTTCAGCGAGATCTATGCAGGCGTTCCGGAGATACTTTCAAACAACCATCTATCCATTCATCTGAACATTCCCATTTTTAATATTAGTAAGAGTAAGATATACATTTAAGTTAGTGTATTATTGTAAATTTAAGTGTGTCCAAGGGCTGGCGCGCATTTCGGAAAAAGTTTGAGCTTGGCCATTCAACGGGGGAATGCCGCAAGCATCTAACACTACCGTGCGAGCGCAGCAATTTGGGGTCGATTTTTTTTATATTATTTAGTTTCATTTATTAACCTTATTTTTAATATATTATATTTCACATAAAAATTAAAAAATTATACAAAATATATTATATTAAAAATAGAGCACCACCGGCTACGGAGTCCTATGACTCAAACAACCAGTGGTCAGGGCTGTAGAGACAGGAACCTTCTCACGATGCGTGCAGTTTCTTTATTTAGTTTTATTTTTAGTTTGGTTTAGTTTTAGTATATAGTTTATTTAATATAGTACAAATTAATTCATTTGTTTTGTGGTGGTTATTTAGTTATTATAAACTAGTCTGTGTTCATTAAGATGTGTCATGGGCACATGTATGATTGTCACCTTTACCTCACACACTGATAAGATGACGGAATTTATTTGGTACAATAGTAGCTACTAGTCCTTTTCTCTATAGTCAAAGACAAGTACACAACTACTTGAAGATAATCTCCAGTCGGAACGCGAGGAACTTACGAGCTTTGCTACCTGCATCCTGCTACTGCACAGAGATAAAATTAATTAAATTTATTTTAACTGTATACATTGCATTTTGGTACTGTCTTACTAATATTATAAATGCGAATGTTTGGATGGATGGATGGATGCAAGTTTTTTTAACTGATCTTGATGAAATTTAGTATAAATGTAGCACATAGTCTAGAAGCACACATAAGCTACTTTTTTATTCTGAGCGGACGGAGTCACGAGCGACAGCTAGTATATTATAAATGCGAATTTTAAGATGGATGGATGGATGTTTGTTACAAGGTATCCTCAGAACCGCTAAATTAATCTCGCTGAAGGTATTAAGTTTTTTTTTTAATTCCGCACGAACAGAGTCGCAAAAAACAGCTAGTATGCTATAAATACGAATGTATAGATGGATGGATGTTTGTTAAAAGATACCTCCAAAAACCACTCAACTGATTTTGATGAAATTTGTCATAGATGTAGAACATTAATTTAGTATTTTTTTAATTGTGAATAGAGTCGCGAGCAACAGCTAGGTTAATATAAGATTGATTGTGATAACATCAAAGTAATTGATACAGGTCAATAATATGCATTAATATAAATATATTTAAACGTTGAAAGCCAGCTCGTATATTTTATTTATTCAATGCAATATATCGATTATCGACCTTCCAATCTCACAGATAATTTAACTGGCCGATGAAATATCGAAGAGCTTCTGAATTTAAAAAAAAAGATTATTCTTTGCCGATTAATTTTTATTATATTATACACTTTCCATCAACTTAATATGTTTTAAAACCAGCTTTTCATTTTTTATTTATTACAGTGATTTGAAAACTAAAAGTTGATGTAATTTGAAAGCCTCTATAAATGGACTGGCTTTAAGATGAAGTATTTTATGCCTATTTGATTTACGCCATTACAGCGCTGTTATTAAATTATTCAAACTTTTGTGAGATATTAATAAATTTATACAAAAACGGCTAAACACTCACGTATATTCGTCCGGTGGCGGCACCGATTAGTTTCGAGCCCATCGGGGGCTCTTTATCAGTATGAGTGGGACTGTTATTATTTCGCGGACGCGGCTCGTCGCTCACTGGTATTATTGTAGCGGTGGTAAGGATTGGAACTAATTATTATAGATAGAATTAACTCTCACGTAATATCATCAGGCGTATTTACATTGGAACAAAGCAAAAACTATCATCTAGAAGCAATCACGTATCCATTTATAGTATACCAGTGTTTGAAAAGAAGTTCATTTTTCAATTACATTTTAACATCTTACACTTGATATTCTAAGTTTTTTTCATACGTTCCTTGTAACTTATTTATTAAACTTGTTGGAAATAAGCTTACAACTATTATAGTTTAAATAAAAACCACAGAATCTAATTGAAAATTAATTTTATTAGTAATAATAAAGAACATAACGCATATAAAATACTTTCAATCTTATTAATGTTATAAATGCAAAAGTTTAGATGTATGTTTGTTAGAAGGTATCTCAAAAAGAGTTGAACGGATGTCGCTAATAGATAGAGAACATAGTGTGGACACACATAAGCTAATTTTTTATTGCATGCGGCCGACATCGAGTAATAATTTAGTTAGCGTAAACTAACCAGTCCTTTCAATAGCATTCCACCATCAATTAAGTAATCCGAACCAGTAATACTCTTCGCCTTTTCGCTTGATAGAAATAGCACCACTTCTGCTATTTCTTCCGGCTCTATCACAGCTCCTAAAGGTGTACAATCAACACTAATATCTTTTAATACATTAATTTCTTTCTCACTTAAACCAGAATACTGATAAATGTTAGTTTTCACCGGTCCTGGTGATATGGAATTCACTCTAACACCTTTATCAGCTAATTCTGTTGCTGTACATTTAGTAAAATGCATCAATCCAGCTTTTGAAATGCTATACGGTAGATTACTCTTTGTTATTAGTTTAGCTGCCACGCTGCAGATGTTAACTACACAACCTTTCGCATCGATTAATGCATTAACAGCATAATTAGTTAATGCAACAACAGATCTTAAATTAACTGCTAAAATACGGTCGTATATTTTCATTAAATTATTACTTTCAATACTAGCAATGGTGAATATTCCAGCACAGTTAATTAGTATGTCTAATTTCCCATACTTTGCCACAGTATCATCGACGATTCGTTTTATATCTTCATCTCTTGTTAAATCTGCGACAATTTTTAATACATCTTTATTATTTGTTTTACATACTTCAGCTGTTTTATTCAAATCTTGTTCATTTATATCGATTATTGTTATTTTAGCCGATTGTTTTGCAAATGCTATCGCAGTTGCAGCCCCAATGCCTGATCCAGCGCCAGTTATTATAACCACTTTATTGTAAAAACTCATTTTTAATATTAAATTTCACTTTCAATGCTTCAATACAACACTTTTTTTTACTGTTGTTACAGTACAGTGTTACATTTGCGTATGCAATATAATCAGCGTTTCACATCGCATACTTATACCATTCTCTTATCTTAATAAGATTAAATGCAATTACCATTTTATAGTTTTAATGATGCTTTTTTTGGTGATAAAGATCAACGAACGATATCGCATATATATCAACTTTAATTGCCGCTGCCTTTAGCTTTGGTTCTACATAAAATACGGGCATTTTACAGCGACTTCGTCTAATAATGTAATCTATTATACCTATAATGCGCTTGGTGGTGTAGGGGAAAGTGGAGGGCACCAGACCACGAGGAAGGTCGCCCATGAGATGGACCGACCAAATCAGAACGGCCCTAGATGTTTCTCTACATCAATGTACTAAAAAGAGAGCCACTAAGGGTGGCGGCGCCTCGTGTAGCGAGTCATTGATACCTGATGACCACAACCGGTCTGAAAAGACTGCAGCAACAAAGAAAAATATTAATAAATATTGCTTATGTGATCCGGGAACAGTGTAGCTTACTAATAGTGGATTTTTCTTAAATTGCTTTTGTTTAGTAGCCCTTTTAGCAAACAAACAACCAAATCTTTCCTCTTTATAATATAGATGAATGATAACTAAGAAAACCTATGGTCAACCCGCTATGGGCCAGGCCTGGTTGACTAAGGTCTAGTCATCCCTATATTACGAATACTCCCGATGAGGAAATATATGAGCTGACAAAAATTTGATCTTTAATTCCAAACTGTCTTGCAGAACCCTATGAGCAAAGGGATTTATAGCAGTATTAGCAAATCCTCGTAAAGATATGTTTAAAATTGTAATGCAATGTTTATGTCTTGGTCAGTTGGACTTAACTTGGACTTTGAGAATTTATGGTTATGACATAAATATTGACACTCGTATCTCTAAAGGTGGGTTTTCACGGATGCAAAAAGCATGAGACGAACTGAAGAAGTACGGTCTGCGTCTAGAATCGCATACCATGAAATCCAAGATGGATTTAAAAGTGTTACCAAATAATCAAATAGCCATCTATAAAAGAGTTATAAATAGAATGATTACGCGGATTACCATACCTTACCGTACCATTTACGATAATTTCCTTCGTCGACTTATCTGCTTTGTTTGCGAATTATATCGTATTATTATTTACATATTATCTTTAATTGGAGTTAAAAAGTGTCATCTTCCTGATATTCTCAAATTTACCTAGGATTGGTGCACCAGATTTTCGTCCTGCAAATCTATCTGTCGTCATATCATCATGTCACCTTTCACGCAATCCATCCATCTCTTCCTAAACCTACTATTACCAGGATACCCTCTCCACACTTATCTCCACACGCTCCAATAATCTTTTACTTCTCAATTATAACAAATGTATATACAAATGTTTCTATGTCATTTTTTAATTATTTCAGTTATTTATCTTGTTTTATTTTAATGGCCTTAACTATTTAAACTAGTCACCTGAAATAATCTTCATATTTCAAAGCGGAAGCCTAAACGTCTGGGTTGTCTAAAGTTTTGAAACGTTAAGGCCTCTCTAGGCTTCAGAGCTGATGCATAAAATCAGACATTAGTTGTGTATGCAAATCTTACTAATATTATAAATGCGAATGTTTAAATTTATGAATATTTGTTAGGAGGTATCTCCATAACAGCAGCGTGGATCTCGATGAAATTAGCCATAAACGTAGAACATAGTCTGGAAGAAAACTTAGGCTACTAAGCTTTTTATTCCATGCAGACGGCTAGAAAGTAAAAAAGTTTAACAAAAAATTATGGTTCGAAAATCGGATACATTTTGTTTATGTTTTACTGGTTAATCGCCGGCGACTTCGTCCGTTCGTAATTAAAAAAAAACTTAATAATTAGCCTATGCCTACTTCCAGACTATGCTCTAAATCTGTGCCAAATTTCATCAAGATCCGTTGAGTAGTTCCGGAGATAACTTCTTAACATCCATCCATCTAAACTTTCTCATTTATAATATTAGTAAGATTATTTCATAGAATCTATTCGATTTTATCTTCCTAAAATCAGAATGTTTAATCCCCAACGATCCACATTTCCCAATATTCAAATTAAGTTATCATATATTCAAAACAAGTTAGCCCCAGTGAAGCTTTATCGTTTAAAACATCAAACCGACCCTATGGTAATTTGAGTGTGATGTTTGTATCAACTTTGATGATTAACTTCAAAAGTGGGGCAAACTACGACTAAAACAGAAGATAAGTGCCACTAACCTTGGGTTTCTGAGGCTTAAATCTCTGTTTAAAACATATTGTTATCTCTGTTTTATCAAAGATGACAGGGATGACGATATGTTTTACACAGAGATTTTCACCTCAGAAACCATTGGTTCCTTTTTCGTGTTTTATGCATTGGGTAGCGTGAATTTATTACATTTTTGCCGCACTAAGACGGTAACTAGTCACTAAGGAAATGTATATTACTTGTGCTTAATCTACACTAAAGAAGACACTTTATATCTATCATTAATAACTGGGAAAATGCAACAAGAATTTCCTTTATTCATCTTATACTACTACTGATAAAGAACTGTGAAAGTGTTAATGTTTTTGAAAATAAACTTAATTTATATCTCATCGCTGTATTGTCATAATCTATCCTCAATATTATATATATACTAGCGGACCCGACAGACGTTGTCCTGTCTACACGTCTTTAATTTGAATAAATTAATATGAAGTTAATATTTGATGAAAATTGTGAATCTAAACCATTCCCAGATACCCTTGAACACACGCAAAAAATTTCATCAAAATCGGTCCAGTCGTTTGAGAGAAGTTCAGTGACATACACACACACAGAAGAATTATATATATAAAGATATCATTTCTGTGAATTTAACTTCTTATAGTTGTACTTAGGTCTGTTTTTGATTTATATTAATCTTATATAATGTTACTATCTTTGTACTAGCGGACCCGACAGACGTTGTCCTGGCTACGCATCTTTAATTTGAATATTACTTAAATTTGACACTGCGATGGTAGCGCCGTCTGTCGGATCCAATGTAAAACATTCCAAAATCATCAACTACTAATAAATTAAAAATTAATTTAAAAAAACATTGTCCAGCGGACAAAATTGTGAATCTAAACCATTCCCAGATCCCCTAGAACACACACAAAAAATTTCATCAAAATCGATCCAGTCGTTTGAGAGAAGTTCACTGACATACACACTCACAGAAGAATTATATATAAAAAGATTAGCCGGCAAGCCCTTTTGTTCTATTATATTTTACATTTATACTCATTGTAAGCGAAACTTTGTGTTTTTTCTGAGTAACTAAGATCTTTAAACCGATATAAATGCCAATTTTTGGATGGATGGATGTTGAAAAGTATCTCCAGAAAGACTGCATTGATCTGTTGAAATTTGGCACACATGTAAAACATAGTCTGGAAGAACACATGTGCTACTAAGTTTTTTTTTAATTCCACGCGGATTAAGTTTTGGGCGACAGGTTATAATAAAATTTAAAGTAAACTTAATTATTTCCAATATTATATGCATCGTGAATAATAAAATCCTCAATTACTTTTTCACTTTAAGTGGAAACAAAACATTGTAGACATCGTTTCTCTCGTTTATTCAACAAAATCCGTGAAGTCAAAGCAAATGCATTTGCATAGAATGAATAAACACACGCTCTATACCTGGAAAAGTATAAAAGACAACTAAATAACGACTTTAAACCCTTGGAATAAGATACTATATTGTTTGCTTTAAGGCAAAATAGAAACAAAAGACGTTCCAGCAAAAAGTCGACCATTTCCTCTTTTGTTAAGCTTTTGTAGAGTAAAAGATATATAGTGCTATCAAGATGGACGAAGTTACTTCTGAAATAAAATGAAATCTTACTAATATTATAAATGGGAATGTTTGGATGGATGTTTGTTAAAAGGAATCTCCAGAACAGCTGTATAGTTCTCGCAGAAATTTGGCATAGATTTGACATAGTCTGCAAGAACACAGGCTACTTACTTACTATGTTGACGAAGTTGTGGGCGACAGGTAGTCTGAAATAAAATGAAACTATTACTAATATTATAAATGCGAATGTTTGGAGAGGTGCATGGATATCTCTAGAACGGCTGCATGGATCTCTCTAAAATTTGGTATAGATTTGATATAATCTGGAAAAACACATAGGCTACTTAGCTTTTTTCCACACGGACGGAATCCCGGGTGTCAGTTAGTATATTTATAAAACTTACAATTTACATTATATTATTCTGAGAGCTGTAGCTCTCAGTATCCACACTGGGCGTTCCAGTACGGGATTACATTTTTCCAGTTGTAATCCAGTTTCGATTATTATCTATTCTAGTTTATTTATGGTAAAAATATTTAATGGTTTGAATGATTTTTTTCTAACTTATAAAGTTGAGTCTCCATTATATTTTTGTTTATTTTTAACTTCGGAGATACTAAAAACTGTTCAAAATACTCCCAATTGATCGGCGTTGTCGTCTTTAACAGTGGTAGAGCCCGCTTTTACATCTTCGCATGAATTGGCCCGGCTCGCCCGGTGAAATACCACGACCACTACCACGACACAGAAGACACGCGTCAACTGAAAGCAATTCCGCGTTTCGTCTGATAATTTAGTCCTCTTTCCCTTCCCACCCTTTTTCTTATTAGGAAAAGATGGGAAGTGGTAGTGGACTTTCCGGATGAGAGGATGCATGGAAAGGGAACATATTTTCTATCTGTGCATCCTCCTCTGTCAATTAAAGGTAGGCAACGCATATGCAATTGCGTATGTCGATGGGCAACGTTTACTTCGCTATTTCAGCGATTTCAGGTGGCTGCTCGCTCGTTTGCCACCTTATATATACCAGATTAATATAAAATAAAAATAATTTATTCATTGTATAATTGTAAAGGTTTAACATATTAGGTAATTCCTTGTATTCATATTCTCCATGTATAACCTAAATAAACTTTCCAACCGCCAAGGGATCGTTCGAAATTTA